TGACTTGTGACGCACATGTAAAGTGTGTCTGAGTTTTTTTTATTTTTTTGAAGGATAAAGATTCATCCTTTGTTTTATTCATTTAAAACTGCCTGTCGTCAGGCTTGCCAGGATAACAGTGGCAGATTTGCAGCTTCACAATTCAGTATTTTCTGAAACAATAGCTACTCGAAGTAAACAAAAGCAGTCTTTGTATCTCAAGCCAACAAAAAGGGATTTTCTTGATTGAAATTAGGTTTGAAATTTATGACAGTGGACATTTAGCCATGGCCGATGGCCGACCACGGCTCGATGAAACAGGAAATATCAAGAAATAGCAGATTTTATTAACTTCAGCTTTGGCTAATGATGGGAACTGTTAAAGGAAGCTAGCTCAAACCTTAAGATCAGGCTATGTTATAGGGCATAGACTGCAGAAGGACATAGACCAGGGGTTTGAGGAGTAAAGTAAACAGTGGAGGTACTTACACCTGCATTTTCCCAACACCCACAAGGGCCAACACCTCTGGTTGCAAAAGACAATGTTATTACTATTTATTGTGTTTTGTCTGATTCAAGCTGATGTTGCCATCCCTATATTGGTATTTTGGATGTGATAAATGAGGGGCGGATCCTACTGTGAAACCATATGTATGAGGACATCCTGGATAATCCTCCTTTCTGAAACTTGTGGCCAAATTTTCCAAAATTGATTTCATGTATATTATTCTATAAGACCCCAAATAAGCAATTAAGAGCATTAAGTCATCAGGAAAGTGCTTAAAGCAGTCAGGTCTGAGGTCGGTTTTCACTTCTATGGAGCCAGAACTGTTTGTAGTCACAGGTATTTTGGCCTCCTTTAACAAATAAGAGGAATCCAAGTTTAAGGCTTTTTACCCTCCCGCGCTGTTCGCCGTATTGGGTGGCAGATCTCCGCCAGCGTAATCGATCAGCTACAGCTCCTTCGGCCTCACCCCATGCAATGTCTTAGGTGTGTAAATCATCAACGAAAGTCCTTCGCCATGTTGTACGGGGGCGGTCTGGTTTGCTTGGGCAGTCTTGGGCAGTTGGCGCGGGAGTTGGCGTAAAATGTGACCTCCAAAGTGCATACACCGCTCAGTCACAATGTCACAGAGGGGACGTGTGGCAGTCCAGTGGTGGACGTCTTAATTCGTGACATGGTCTTGGTAAGAGACCTGCAAGATCCGTCTTAGCCATCGATGTTGGGCCACATTGAGTCTATTGGGGATTTTGGCTGATGTTTTCCACGACTCACGAGCTTTAAAGCACTCGGCTTTAATTTTCTTACTGGTATCTACATTTAAAATGACCAGTAAATGATCATTTAAAAAGTAAAAAAGAGACAAGACTTTTAGTACTTAAATGCAGTACTTTAATCTGTTGCATTCCCACCATCTTCTTTATGAGACAAGACAGCTGAGGTGCTGCTGCCACATCAAATATTTTGTAAGCCGTTTTTTTTAACATTAACAAACATGAAACATGGTGAAAAAGCTTTTTGATTAAAGCGCACCACTTTTAAAGACACGTGGACGCAATATATGTGGAAAGGTCTTTTAAAATTACCCACACAGAATGAAAGAAGTCTGTATTTTTAAGATAGTTGAGATAATAAAGCATGTTTTCTTTGATTTTATGGTCAGCAGCTCAACTCTTGGATCTGACCTCTGCAACAAGTGGCTTTCTTTATTTAAATTAAATTTGTAACCCTACAATAACAACTCAACTAAGTAATACTAACAGGTGTTGGAAAACTAGCATTCTGGGTTTAAAAGGCTAAAGAAGAACAGCAACACACTTAAAACTCTCCTCTTACATAGAGAAAGCATCTTCTATAGGTGCCTATTATCATAAAACACAGACCCTAATGTGACTGATATGTGCTGCACTTGTTTCCTAACCTTTCCTGTGCTATCTACAGTTAATGGTCCTGCAGGGTGCAGCCTGGGAACTTGTTTCTCCTGGAGGAGGGGAGGGTTATGTAATAGGTGACAGGAGGTGATGAAAAATGTGAAAATTTCAAATGTGATACTGAAAGGAAAACAATATTCATAATGCTTTTACTAATATCGTTGAAACAGATCGTGTGTGAGCTGTGCTTCGGCGGTCTGATGTAAGGAAAAGGAGGAACTGGAAATATAATGATCATTAACAACATCATTTCTTCACTTTCCTTAAGAATAAAGCAAAGAAGTACGTCCTAGAAATAAAACACCTCTGCACCCCGGAAAAACCTGTCACCCGTCAGCCAACAGTGTGTGTGTGTGTGTGTGTGTGTGTGTGTGTGTGTGTGTGTGTGTGTGTGTGTGTG